GATATAGAATCATTAATTACGTATACAAACCTTAAAAAAAACGTATCATTTCCTTATTTCGATTTCTTATAGGGAATATATCACATTTACAATTAATATGATTTTTTGAAATTTTACAATTAAAAGCCATTTTTTATTAAATAATTAAAAATATAAAAATTAATTTTATAAGAAATAATAAAAACAAATTTAAACATCTTAATTGTCATTAATTTCATGTATTTTTCTTCTTTTCATTTCTTCTATTTCATCTTCTAATTCTCTAATTCTTTTTGCATTATTATTAAAATTATGAAATGTTACTAATTTATTATTTGTTATTTCATCAAACATTTCATTAGGATCTAAATCATTATAAACACTTGAAAAAGTTATAAAACATTTCATATTATAATAAAAAGATGATCTATATAAACCTTTTGTGTAATCTTTATCTTTACTAAAGCTAATAAAATCAAAATTATCTGTTACCTTTTTAGCTATTCTCATTAATTCATCATTACTAGGTAAACTTAAACATACAAAAAGATAATTACTATGTAAAAATATAATATTTTTATTCTTGCTGAATTTTCTTCTTTTTGATTATTTAAATTACTAACACAATTAATAAGTTGATTAAATTCAGTACTAAAATAAAAACAATCTCCTTTAATCCAATCATTACATTTATTATTTTCACAAAAATTATATGATAATTTTTCTTTTTTACAATTATTACATAATATTAAACTAGAATTAATATTACATTTATTACAAAATTTAGGTGCTGAATTGTATACTATAAATTCCTTCTTAACATTTGAATAAATATTTGTTGGATCTGTTAAAATGAATTCATGTACATTATTATTTGTTATTATTTTAAATAATCACAAATTTCTAAAATTAAATAACGAAAATCTAATTCATAATCCATTTTATGAAATCTTCTAGCTTTTTTATCTATCTATGTAATATTATAAGGTTGATCTCCTAAATAAACATTTATTTCTTCTTCAAAATAAAATTTTTTAAATATTTTACGATTCTTAGTAAAAGATTCTACATTTTTTACAGTTGATATCCATCTTTGTAATGGATGTTCTAATAAATGAGGTTGAAATAATGGTATTACAATATAAAGATTTTTGGTCTATAACTTTTGTAATTACCAAAAAACCATCTATCTCCATTATCAATTTGAATTTTACTATATGTAAATTGATCTTCTAATGATATATTATTAAGATCAATTATTTTATTATCATCTTCACATTGACCAAAATTATCTACTTGTACAATGCTAATAAATATCCTGAAAATCGCTTTATTATCAATAATATTTTGACATGTTACTACTTTATAATGACCCATTTTTATTTCGCTCAACTATAAGTAAATTTTCCTTTTCTTATTTTTTTTATGCAATTTTTATTCCAACACTTAGTTGATTTTTTATTTGAACCACAATTATTACAAGGTGATATTTTACAATTATTAGGACAATTTTTTGAAATATTAGGTCTTTTACAATTTTTACAAAGTATAATTTTTGTTTTAATGTAAACTTTTTTTTTAGTAATCTCTTTCTTCTTTTTAGATTTTTGACTTTTACAAACACAAATTTGTAATTTACAATTAATACACTTATCTTTTGTTGCTTTAGGTATTAATCATTAATTTGATTTTCAAAATAATTTAATAGAAATTCTTTCGAATTATCAAAAGATTTTTTTATAAATTTATTTATTACTGTAATAAATCTATAACTAAGAAATGAAATCAAAATAGTGTATACTTTTTCTATACTAATAAATGAATAATCTAAATTATAAGATTCACCAAGTTGATATAAAAAAATATTTAATAAAACTAAAAAAGAAATAATTAAAATTAAGATTATGAATTTTAATATTGCAAAAATAATATTTATTATTTTTACTAAATTTTCATATTCCATTTTTATTAACCAAGTTATTATAACTTTAAATTTATATTATTATTGAAAAACAAAAAAAAATAAAGCAGAATTTTTTTTAATTTTTTAAAAAAATTAATAAAAATTATTGATTTTCTGCAGAAAGTTTAAAATATTATTAATTTTTTTATCATATTTTTTTTATAATTTCATATTTTTTAGATTTTCTTTTATAAAAATTCAATATATTTTCTGGATTTTTATATATTTTTGATGATTGATATGTTTATTTCGAGTACAAATAAAATTTTTTTACATCTAAAGCATATTTTTTCATTATCTCATTTTTTTTATCATCCAAAAAAAAATAAGAATTTTTGTAAAAAGTTCGCAGAATTTCATAAATTTTTATTTTAGAAAAATATATTTTTAATAAAGAATAATGGAATATTATATTAAATATAAATATAATAAAAAATAAAATTCCGAATATTTATTAATAATTTTAATATATTAAACAAGTTACTGCTAAATTATTATAAAAAAAAATAATAAAACAAAAATGGAAAACCAATTAAAGAGATTAAATTTAAAATAATACTTATAAAAATCATCCATCTTATAAAGCAAAAATTAAATTTAAATAAATTATTAATTAAATAAAATATTGATAAAAGTTTTTTAATAAATAAATTTATATCGAAATCATCTCCTCTTTTTAATTGTTCAAATATTAATAAAACATCTTTTATATCATTAAACCAATTTTTTAAATCAAAAGAATTAATTTTGATATTTAAATTATTAATACTACATTAAAATTCTTTAATAATAGTAATTTTATCTAATTTTTTTATTTTTTATTTATTTTTTATACGCTTTATTTCTAAATCAAAATCATCATATTCATTTTCCATTTTTTTAAATTAGATAATTAATCTAATTCTTCTTGAAATTTTCAGATTTTTTGAATATGAGATTCATCAAGTTGTTTATATTTTTTTGCTTCTTTCTGAAGTAGTTCAATTTGTTATTTTTTTGAATTAATTGTTCTTTTAATTGATTATTTTCATCAATTAGTTTTTGCATTTGATTTTTTTTCTTTTCAATACCTTTTTCAAGTTTAATTAATTCTTCATCAAATTCTTTATTAGAATTTTCTATACTATTTTTTTCTTGATCCATTTCAAATATTAAAAATGTAATTTTAAAATTATATAAATTTAATTTATTAAATTTTATTAAAATAAACTATTATATTATTTAAGTTTATTTAATTTTTCTGAAAAAATTTTTTATAAAAATATATTTTCATATTTAAGCATTTCTAATTCTTTATTTTTTTCTTTAAATTTATTTTTAATTTCTTCAAGTTCTTTATTAACATTTTCTATTTTTTCATTTAATGTTTCAATTTTTTCTTTTCTTTCTAATAATATTATATTTATTCTATTTAATTTAGCCTATAAACCAAATTCTTTAATATTTTTAATTTCAATATTTATTTCTTTAAAAATATTTATTAATCTTTCATTAATATCATTTTTTAAAATATGATAATCATTTTTTTTAATATATTCAACTAACAAGACTAATTCAACTTTTATAATTTTATTTTCATCGATTCTAAATAAAAAAAATTGTTTTTTTTTCAGATAAAGTGTTTTCAAAATTCTTTTTTGTGTAGTTTAATGATTTTAATATTTGGTTATTTAAAATATAAGATACTTTTATTAAAATTTCTTTTGCCATTTATATTATTATATATCAATTCTATTAAATTTATAAATAAATTTTAAAACATAATAAAATTGATAAATTTTTTAATACTAAAACATACTTACTCAAGTGATCACGCGCAAAATATCTGCAAGGTTATTTTCCTAAAACGTTAAAAAAGTTAAGGCGTTAAGCAAGTGACCATATGTAAAATATCTGCGAGATTACTTACAAAAAGTGACTGCACTCAAAATATCTGTGAGGTTACTTACAAAAAGTGCTCACGCATAAAATATCTGTGAGATTATCTACTCAAGTGATTGCGCGCAAAATATCTGCGAAGTTATTTATAAAAAGTGACTATACGTAAAATGTCTGCGAGGTTATTTTTTAAAGCGTTAAAAAAAGTTAAGGCGTTAAGTAAGTAACCACGTGCAAAATATTTGTGAAGTTACCTTGAGGAAGTGACTGCGCATAAAATGTCTGCGAGGTTACTTATCTAAACGTTAAAAAAAGTTAAGGAGTTAAATAAGTGACCACGTACAAAATATCTGCGAGGTAACTTTAATAAAACGTTAAAAAAAGCTAAAACCTTAAGGAAGTGACCATGCGCAAAATATCTGTGAGGTTACCTTGAGGAAGTGATCACGCGCAAAATATTCGTGAGGTAACTTTGATAAAATGTTAAAAAAAGTTAATGCATTAAGTAAGTGATCACAGACTACGTGAAAAATAAATGTGAGGTAACTTTGCTAAAGCATTAAAAAAAAGATAAAGCGTTAAAAAAGTGATCACGCGTAAAATATTCATGAGGTAACTTTAATAAAGCGTTAAAAAAGTTAAGGCGTTAAATAAATGACCATGCTGTAACAGTGTAAAAATTTTGGCTAAAATCTGATTACAAATCCAATGTCAATTAAATGTCCTTGTTTATTATCTCATTGATCCTGATGTCAACTTGATAATCAATGTAAAACATTGTAGATCCAGATATCAATTTTATTTCCAGTATAATAGGCAACTTTATTGACATGATCATCTTTGCTGATCAATTTTGTCAACTTTATTTCCTTGACGATATCATTTATTTTTCATAGATTTATTTAGTTTAGTTCATTTTATAATTATCAAACATGTATAAATATTACTGTATTATTATTGAGAAAGGATACCAATGAATAAATCCATCAATTAATACACACCTTAAGAAGGAGTAAGGATAATA